TTGATTATTTTTTAATACTTCATTGGCCGGTCAGATGGAGGCCTCTCTTCTTCAGGAGCAAAGGAAAAAGAAAGCTTTCTTCTGAAGAGGACAGACTTGTGTTTCGCATTAAATATTACATATCTACTATTCATAGGCACACTAATAAAGGCATATCTTTATTAAAATTTGTATGGCTCTGAAAAGAGCCTTTTTTTTTTTTTTAATTATTTCAGTCCATCATCCTTTCACTTTTTGCCTTTCTTTGGAGTGGCTTTTTTAACTGCTTTAAGTTTCTTTGCTTTGGGAGGCTTCGGCTTCGTTGCTTTCACAACTTTCTTTGGGCTTTTTGCTTTACTCACTTTTTTAACGCTCGTTTTTTTGGCAGCAGGCTTTTTCTTCTCCTCTTTTGCTTTAGCTGGTTTCTTTGCAGGCGCTTTAGCTTTCTTCGCCGGTGATGCAGCTGCCTTCTTTGGCTTCTTCTCTTGTTTCCTGACTCCTTATTTTTATGGCCAGATGCACTAACTTTGAATGAACCAGTAGCTCCCTTTCCTTTCGTCTGAACTAGGCTTCCACCAGCTACAGCACTCTTCAGATACTTCTTGATAAAAGGGGTCAAACGGTCAATATCCACTTTGTGATGCGATGCAATATGCTTCTTAATGGCTTGAAGAGAAGAGCCACCCCGTTCTTTCAAACTCGTAATAGCCTCTACGACCATAGCTGAAACTTTAGGATGTGATGGTATCGTCTTCGGTTTCTTACTCGCTGATTTCTTCGCCTTCTTTGGCGTAGCAGCAGCAGGTGAAGATGAAACGGTCTCTTCGGTTGACATTGTTAGGCCTCCGAACGAACGAACTAACTGTCCGATGGTAAATATCGAAATGAGGGTACCCCAATATGTGTGCGTAGACTTGGGGGAGGACACATGAGGCGGGGCTTAGAAATTTGACCTTTCATAGGTCTTGTATGCTCACGTGACCTATCAAACAGAGTTAAGAAATACGAATAGCCCGCGAAATTTTTATTATTTCTTGATTTCTAGTTGCGTTGTGAAGTGCTGAAGAAGCTCTTACTTTTGAGATGGCTCGTACGAAGCAGACTGCAAGGAAAAGTACTGGAGGTAAAGCTCCTAGGAAACAGTTAGCTACTAAGGCTGCGAGGAAAAGCGCACCAGCTACCGGTGGTGTTAAAAAACCTCATCGTTACAGGCCTGGTACTGTTGCTCTCAGGGAGATTCGTCGTTATCAGAAATCAACAGAATTGCTGATCCGCAAATTGCCTTTCCAACGTTTAGTCAGGGAAATTGCACAAGACTTTAAGACCGATCTTCGATTCCAGAGCTCAGCGGTTATGGCTCTTCAGGAAGCCAGTGAAGCTTACCTGGTAGGATTATTTGAAGATACCAACTTGTGCGCTATCCATGCCAAGAGAGTGACTATAATGCCGAAAGACATTCAGCTGGCTCGTCGTATTCGTGGCGAACGCGCTTAAGTGACATTTTGTTTTTAAAAAAAGGCCCTTTTCAGGGCCATACAAATAATGTAATAAGTTATGTTACAATAATTGCTTCCTTTTATTCCCTGCCTTTTTTTCCCCCATTAAAATTTTCTACTCATTCGAAAATCTTCCCTCTTTTCATTAAATATTTATGAGTTATTAAAATTGAATGCGCACATTCAAGTCTGCCAAATTTTTATTTCGAAATCATCACTTTATAAAGATTTCTTTCCTCTGACAGCAATTATTGTAACTGAGCTTATTAAATAATTTGTATGGCGCTTAAAAGTATTTATTCTTTGCAAAGTATGCATATCCAATCACTTTAATTCCGTTAGGAACTTAATATTCGAAATCTTTTTCACATGAATAATCTACGGATAGATGGCACCACTTACAAGATGTGTTTTAAAACATTGTTTATATACGATTAAAATATGAATTTTTGGGAGACATTTAATTTTAATTCCTTTAAGTTCCTCCTTAAATATTTGCATCATAATGGATGCAAATGTCTGTTACTCTCAACATTGTATTAAAATTAGATCTTATAGAACATATGATAAAGAAACAGAAAAATACACAATTGTACATGTGTCGCCTCTTTCTAATTCAAGCAATTAAGCATTTTCTTTTTGGTATATTTTTTGGCCCTTAAAAGGGCCTTTTTTTGAGGGTGGGTGGCAATGTCAAGGATAAGTTATGCTTTCTTTTCTGTCTTTTTTGGGAGTAGTACAGCCTGGATATTGGGAAGCACTCCACCCTGTGCAATAGTGACACCAGAGAGCAGTTTATTTAATTCCTCGTCGTTTCTTATAGCCAGCTGAAGATGTCTAGGAATGATTCTGGTCTTCTTGTTATCTCGAGCTGCATTACCAGCCAACTCCAGAACCTCAGCAGCCAAGTATTCTAAAACTGCAGCAAGATAGACGGGAGCGCCGGCACCTACTCTTTCAGCATAATTTCCTTTTCGCAAAAGACGATGAATACGACCAACAGGAAATTGAAGACCAGCACGACTGGATCGAGTCTTGCTCTTTCCCTTAACTTTGCCACCTTTACCACGACCAGACATGATGATATGATTGCAAGATTAATACAAAAATGACGCTCTAGAGACCCCCGTTTTATTAACTCTGTATCTACCATATTTAACCAATGAGCGCAAGACTTTGAAATGAATGGTCCAATAGAATTGTAGCTCTCAATCTCTGTTAGGCACCCTGTGTGGAAATATCAATTCATATTTTTAATTTATTTTTCCTTTATATTAACTAGTTAGCTTGTCGTACACCACTGACTTAAGTCATATCAAATACTAAAACATTGAGTAGAACCGTTTAATGACCAAGTATTTGTAATAAGAGAATATTATTGTTATTCAAGCATCTTCTGAATATTAATAAACAATATTTCTGCTAAGTAGATGAAAGAAACATGAAAAGAAAAGAAAAACATGTAGATAAATTCTACTATACTTGATATTGCTTCTCCTTCAACTGGCAAAATGTTTTATCATACAAAGCTGTGGTACATAGTTTCACTCTATATGTGTACTCATACTCTAGAGTACATATATAGGTGAGGAACTACTGATACTACATATGTATACGATTGAAATTAGAAATATACTCTTGAATGCAGATATACTTACCTCCAATAAGAATTAAAAATGCATGTATGTGTGTGTATATATATATATTACACTTAGTCCTCACTGGCACCCGAACATATTGGCCATTTCAAAACCCAGTAATTTATAATCACATTACTGGACAGTATCAGAAAAACATAACTAACATTATCAGATGTTTTCTATAACTGGTTGATACTAATTTGATATTTTGTATATGTTAGTTAAATCACTGAACGGAATTTTACATAACTTTAAAATTCGTTTTTATTAAGTACAGTAGATAGCATTAAAATTTAAACTCAGTAGTTCTCCATTTCCTATCCCTTCCTCCAAGGCCAAGAAGGTATTCATATTTCAAGAACAAGAAAAGGAAGGAAACTAAGCTTTACAGAAAATGCTTATTATAATACTTGCCATTCATGTACACTTTCATAACACAACAGAAAGTAGAAGAAACTATGTGCATGCATATTTAAATCATCTAACCATAAGTAATTTTAAAGATGGTTATGTCTTATTGAAACAGATTTATTAACCTAAATAGAAAATATGAAACATAAATATTATTTTTATACATTTTATTTCTATACTAAATCACGTTACATGACATAAAACAGAAGCAAAACACATAACAGGAAAGAGCTTGAATCAGTAAACTGTTGCCATTCACTGTGAAAATACAACTGTTGCCAATTACTGACAAAGTATGACTGTTGCCACTATATCTAATGAGATGAAGAGTAACCCTCAACATATCTTTCAGGATAGGCCAATAAATGAATTAATTCTTTAAAGCAGTGCCATTGTGATCACTCAACTTACAAAGTGTACAGATAGATGAATTTGCATCCTGTAGTGGAAGATGGTGCCTGTTTTGGTTAAAATAAAAAGTGCATCTTAAAGTTTCATTCTTCTTTGAAACATATGAATACATGAAACATGGATACTTATTGCAAAGGTAAGTGCATTGAACAGTATATTTTCGATCTGAATCGTATGTATGAAGCACAAGCTGTATGTTGGAAGCATTAAGCCATTTTGCCAAAGCATGTTTCTCTTATTAGAATTCTTGTTTCTAGTGTCTATTCTTTAAAGTATGTTTTTTTTAACAGTAATATTAATGTAATTATATGATGATTATGAGAATTGGTATTAATTGTGTTAAGTATTCAGAACATGTGTTTGAAAAACGATAGTATTCTGTCATTCTAAATGCTTGGTCACTTAGTTAGTATGTAACATTTTCATCTGAAAAATTAAGTAGTCTATTTCAAATGATAGTGCAATGGGTGATCTGTCCAAGAGGCATGACTGAAAACCAGTAACTGAATGTAACGAAGTGAAAAATCTGTACCTACTTTTACTAGCTTATTTACACTAAATTATTACTAATGGAATTTAAGAGATACTGAATTGATTGCAAATGATGTAATCAGATTTACACATCTCCATGCAATGTCGTGTGTAATTTGGGTTACTTTCTGATGAGTTTGATCAAATCAAATCAAGATATATATATATACAATGAATAAGGAAATTCCTACAAATTTGCTGTGCTCACTGTTGTGCCTCCTAATTAAAATCTTTTTATTGTCAGAGTAGGCATATTGGCACCAGTCCCGATTAACTATATTTGAAGATTTTGCCCAGAAACGATGGATGTATTGTAAATGGCATTTAATCTCACACAGCTGACACATGATGGTATGGAATATGACATGTAATGTTAAAGTAGTCATTTATTTCATCAAATGAAAGGACTTTTGTTGTTGCTGACAAAATTGAATATTTCCTGTTGGTTAAGTGCACAGTTGAAAACTTTAACGGTCAGTTCAGAGAGAGGAAATGAAGTCACTTGTTTCTGTGTTGTTACGTTGTAAAAAAAATGTGCTTGTGTTCAAGAAAGTGTAATTATCTTCGAAAAATTGAAATTCAAAGTCAAGTTAGATGCCTGTTTGTAATTTGGTGGGATGGAATGTTTGTATTAGAAACATCACATTTCCATGAAGTCGTAAAATTGATGAAAAGTGACAAAACGACTATCAAATATGAAGAAAAGGTTTATTAGTTATAAATGTGAGTAAGATGAATAGATTACAATACAAACAATGATGTGAAATCAATGAAAATTGGAAAAATCTGGTGATGTGTGAAATATGAAAAATATATTTATTAATTATAAAAGCAGGAATTTTATTAATTAATTATATACGAGGAAGAAGAAAAAAAATTATATATATGAAGGAATTTTATGCAGATCCCCGCCCCGCCCCCTACCTTCCTTCCTACCTACCTACCTACCTACAGCGGGATTCGAACCCGGGCCCTTCGGCCCAGTAGATAGTGTCACTAACCACTGTCCCGCCTCGACAGGCTAGCCACTTTCCTGTGTAGGCAGTACTTATGATATTTCGGATATTATAGAATGTCTTCATTCCAAGTATTCTGAGAAAGGCTTTGATCGAGCTAGTGAAACCATTTGTGGTGCATTCAGATGTCTTGCTCATCTTGTCCACAGAGTAACTACAGTGTATATCTTGCTTCAACACTGTATACGTATTCTTATGATGATTTCTGCCTCACTACGAACTCTCTACAACTAACCCACTGCTATGGATCTGCTAATACTTCTCTTCCTACTTCTACTTCAACTCACCTGTCTAAGACTTTCGTTATGCTACTCAACGTTCGAAAAGTTATCTAATTGTTATATTGGGAATTTTTTTTTTTTTTTTTTTTCCATGTAGCCATGTCTGACGTGTATTCTTTTCTTCGAGTGATTAGTTTCATCAAACACGAAGCACACAGTTCTTTTACTTCTTATTATCGTGTATATGTTGCATTAGATCCATATATTGCCGGGGGGGTTAATTTGTGAAGAAAAGGACGGGGGAGCCAAGTTTCCAACCTGTCGTTGTAATAATAGTAAATTCTCCTGTCACGTTGTCATGAAGCTAATTAACTCTCTGAGCATTACGGGCTTAGCCTTGATGACTCTTTCATTTTGTACCTTGATTCCTTTTCTTCCAATATACATCCAAACTGAAATCAGATACGTTAACTCTTTAAAATCCAGACCCTTCGCTAAGCTGTATCCTCAAAATACCCGAACCGCCCGAAATACTTTACCAGTTTCACAGCAATTTCCTCACCTCCCCGTCCATTAATGCAGAAAATAGGTGTAAAGATTTCCAATGACATCCTTTGTACTTTCTAACAAAGATTCCATTAGCCTTTGACCCCATTCTTTATAAAACTATTCTGAAGGTCAGATCAACAAGCCTTTCCAGCTTTGTTATGATCACAACTGAGAGATTGTATCTCAACGAAATGTCACGATCATCCAAAAGATAAAAAAACCTCTTAGGACAAGCTGTCTGCAGTAAACTGATACAATGCATTTGGGGAAAGTGCACCTGCTACTGCATACCTTAGGGGGAGAGAGGGAAGAAAAGAAGATTACAATCTCGGGCGGATTTGGATGTGAAGGAGTTAAAAGCTAGCAGAAATTTTCATGTATAATGAATGGGGAAGGCAAACTTCTGTATGGAAGTTTCCGGCCTTAACACTGAGAAGGTTAAATATGATGTACTATTATGGTTATCATCAAATTCCATTGCAAATGTTGTCTGCATTTTCAATTATCTTTCAAATTAGACTCGCATTTTCCAATTTCTTTGGTTTCCATGTATATATATAAGGATACTATTTGGTAAGTCCTTTCAATGAATTCATTTAAGACAGCCAGTAAGAAGTAATAAATTGAACAATGAATGATATGTGTCATAGGATTTAAAGATAAGCAAGCAACAGCTAATCTTAAGCATTTTCTGGCCCTGAAAAGGGCCTTTTTTTTTTTTTTTTTTATGCTGAAAGCTTTGAAAATTTACTTCGAGCTGGTGTACTTGGTGACAGCTTTGGTACCTTCTGAAACAGCATGTTTTGCCAATTCACCAGGCAGCAACAGTCGCACTGCAGTTTGAATTTCTCGGCTAGTGATGGTGCTCCTCTTATTGTAATGAGCTAAACGAGAAGATTCTGCTGCAATTCTCTCAAAGATGTCATTAACAAAAGAATTCATAATTGACATTGCCTTGCTCGAAATACCAGTGTCAGGATGAACCTGTTTCAAAACTTTGTAGATGTAAATAGCAAAAGATTCCTTCCTTCGCTTCTTCCTCTTTTTCTTGTCACCAGCTCGAACAGCTTTCTGGGCCTTTCCAGCTTTCTTAACAGCTTTTCCAGATGCTTGGGGAGGCATTTTCAAATTCTACGAATGAGATGAATCACACCTGAAAGGCCGTATTTATGCATTTTGGCCGTTTTCCTTTTCAACCAATCACAAACATCATGATGTAACCTATTTTTTGAGAGAGAAATGTCTGCATTAGATCCATATATTGCTTAATTTGTGAAGAAAAGGACATTTCCAACCTGTCGTTGTAATAATAGTAAATTCTCCTGTCACGTTGTCATGAAGCTAATTAACTCTCTGAGCATTACGGGCTTAGCCTTGATGACTCTTTCATTTTGTACCTTGATTCCTTTTCTTCCAATATACATCCAAACTGAAATCAGATACGTTAACTCTTTAAAATCCAGACCCTTCGCTAAGCTGTATCCTCAAAATACCCGAACCGCCCGAAATACTTTACCAGTTTCACAGCAATTTGTCCATTAATGCAGAAAATAGGTGTAAAGATTTCCAATGACATCCTTTGTACTTTCTAACAAAGATTCCATTAGCCTTTGACCCCATTCTTTATAAAACTATTCTGAAGGTCAGATCAACAAGCCTTTCCAGCTTTGTTATGATCACAACTGAGAGATTGTATCTCAACGAAATGTCACGATCATCCAAAAGATAAAAAAACCTCTTAGGACAAGCTGTCTGCAGTAAACTGATACAATGCATTTGGGGAAAGTGCACCTGCTACTGCATACCTTAGGGGGAGAGAGGGAAGAAAAGAAGATTACAATCTCGGGCGGATTTGGATGTGAAGGAGTTAAAAGCTAGCAGAAATTTTCATGTATAATGAATGGGGAAGGCAAACTTCTGTATGGAAGTTTCCGGCCTTAACGCTGAGAAGGTTAAATATGATGTACTATTATGGTTATCATCAAATTCCATTGCAAATGTTGTCTGCATTTTCAATTATCTTTCAAATTAGACTCGCATTTTCCAATTTCTTTGGTTTCCATGTATATATATAAGGATACTATTTGGTAAGTCCTTTCAATGAATTCATTTAAGACAGCCAGTAAGAAGTAATAAATTGAACAATGAATGATATGTGTCATAGGATTTAAAGATAAGCAAGCAACAGCTAATCTTAAGCATTTTCTGGCCCTGAAAAGGGCCTTTTTTTTTATGCTGAAAGCTTTGAAAATTTACTTCGAGCTGGTGTACTTGGTGACAGCTTTGGTACCTTCTGAAACAGCATGTTTTGCCAATTCACCAGGCAGCAACAGTCGCACTGCAGTTTGAATTTCTCGGCTAGTGATGGTGCTCCTCTTATTGTAATGAGCTAAACGAGAAGATTCTGCTGCAATTCTCTCAAAGATGTCATTAACAAAAGAATTCATAATTGACATTGCCTTGCTCGAAATACCAGTGTCAGGATGAACCTGTTTCAAAACTTTGTAGATGTAAATAGCAAAAGATTCCTTCCTTCGCTTCTTCCTCTTTTTCTTGTCACCAGCTCGAACAGCTTTCTGGGCCTTTCCAGCTTTCTTAACAGCTTTTCCAGATGCTTGGGGAGGCATTTTCAAATTCTACGAATGAGATGAATCACACCTGAAAGGCCGTATTTATGCATTTTGGCCGTTTTCCTTTTCAACCAATCACAAACATCATGATGTAACCTATTTTTTGAGAGAGAAAATGTAATGGGGAGGTTAAAAGAATTTGTATATGAAATACATTTTTGAAAGAAAATTGAGTTTCGTTTACGTACATATTATTTTGTTGTCAAATTAACCCTGTCAACGGCCACACCGTGCTGAAAGTACCGGTTCTCGTCCGAACACCGCAGTCAAGCAGCGTCGGGCGCGGTCAGTACTTGGGAGGGTGACCACCTGGGAACACCGCGTGCTGTTGACATTTTTGTCCTCTTGCAAATTTTTATGTATCCGTACTAATAATTATTAATTCAAAATACATATTTTTTGTGTGTGTGTCTGATAGGAAAAGCTATAGTTATATAAAACACTGATAACTGATGACATGCAAGCCTTAATCTTATGCTACATTTATAATGACACCAATCTGTTGAAATAAAAATTCTCGTTCTCCTGATCTGTTCTCAATTATAATACTTTACATACCATATAAAACAGTTTATATGAACTTAAAAAAAAAAAAAAAAAATACCCTGAGGACACTTAACACAAAAGGATATTACATTAATTGTTGTAAATCCTACTAACGCCATATTGATAGTATTCTTATTGGTCGAACAGAGACCTTTGATCACGTGACACGCACGGAAAAATAGCATAAATAAAAGTGCCTGAGAACCGAAATCCGTTTTTCTGATATTTCAGTGTTGCAAAAATGTCTGGCCGTGGTAAAGGAGGCAAAGGTCTTGGTAAAGGGGGTGCCAAAAGGCATCGCAAGGTCTTGAGAGATAACATCCAGGGTATCACAAAACCAGCAATTAGGCGCTTGGCAAGACGAGGTGGAGTAAAGCGTATTTCCGGCCTCATCTATGAGGAAACGCGAGGAGTTCTGAAAGTTTTCTTGGAAAATGTGATCCGAGATGCTGTCACCTACACAGAGCATGCCAAGAGGAAAACTGTCACTGCTATGGATGTCGTTTATGCATTAAAGAGACAGGGACGTACTCTATATGGATTTGGAGGTTAAATATCATTACCTTGCCCTAATTCCCCCCCCCCCCAAAAGGCCCTTTTCAGGGCCATACAAATTTTTAAAAAAGATATGCCTTTATTGTAAAATTTCTCGCTATAACAGTACTCCCGATTTAATTATATCGGTTTAAATCATTATCTACTTAAGCTGTATGAATCGAATTAAAATTAGCATTTTATATTCCTTCTTTAAAAAGTTACACACCAATAAAAATAAATCTATTTTTTTTATAAAGTATTTGTATTCATTAAATCTTTTTTTGTGAAGAAGTATTGATTATTTTTTAATACTTCATTGGCCGGTCAGATGGAGGCCTCTCTTCTTCAGGAGCAAAGGAAAAAGAAAGCTTTCTTCTGAAGAGGACAGACTTGTGTTTCGCATTAAATATTACATATCTACTATTCATAGGCACACTAATAAAGGCATATCTTTATTAAAATTTGTATGGCTCTGAAAAGAGCCTTTTTTTTTTTTTTAATTATTTCAGTCCATCATCCTTTCACTTTTTGCCTTTCTTTGGAGTGGCTTTTTTAACTGCTTTAAGTTTCTTTGCTTTGGGAGGCTTCGGCTTCGTTGCTTTCACAACTTTCTTTGGGCTTTTTGCTTTACTCACTTTTTTAACGCTCGTTTTTTTTGGCAGCAGGCTTTTTCTTCTCCTCTTTTGCTTTAGCTGGTTTCTTTGCAGGCGCTTTAGCTTTCTTCGCCGGTGATGCAGCTGCCTTCTTTGGCTTCTTCTCTTGTTTCCTGACTCCTTATTTTTATGGCCAGATGCACTAACTTTGAATGAACCAGTAGCTCCCTTTCCTTTCGTCTGAACTAGGCTTCCACCAGCTACAGCACTCTTCAGATACTTCTTGATAAAAGGGGTCAAACGGTCAATATCCACTTTGTGATGCGATGCAATATGCTTCTTAATGGCTTGAAGAGAAGAGCCACCCCGTTCTTTCAAACTCGTAATAGCCTCTACGACCATAGCTGAAACTTTAGGATGTGATGGTATCGTCTTCGGTTTCTTACTCGCTGATTTCTTCTTCGCCTTCTTTGGCGTAGCAGCAGCAGGTGAAGATGAAACGGTCTCTTCGGTTGACATTGTTAGGCCTCCGAACGAACGAACTAACTGTCCGATGGTAAATATCGAAATGAGGGTACCCCAATATGTGTGCGTAGACTTGGGGGAGGACACATGAGGCGGGGCTTAGAAATTTGACCTTTCATAGGTCTTGTATGCTCACGTGACCTATCAAACAGAGTTAAGAAATACGAATAGCCCGCGAAATTTTTATTATTTCTTGATTTCTAGTTGCGTTGTGAAGTGCTGAAGAAGCTCTTACTTTTGAGATGGCTCGTACGAAGCAGACTGCAAGGAAAAGTACTGGAGGTAAAGCTCCTAGGAAACAGTTAGCTACTAAGGCTGCGAGGAAAAGCGCACCAGCTACCGGTGGTGTTAAAAAACCTCATCGTTACAGGCCTGGTACTGTTGCTCTCAGGGAGATTCGTCGTTATCAGAAATCAACAGAATTGCTGATCCGCAAATTGCCTTTCCAACGTTTAGTCAGGGAAATTGCACAAGACTTTAAGACCGATCTTCGATTCCAGAGCTCAGCGGTTATGGCTCTTCAGGAAGCCAGTGAAGCTTACCTGGTAGGATTATTTGAAGATACCAACTTGTGCGCTATCCATGCCAAGAGAGTGACTATAATGCCGAAAGACATTCAGCTGGCTCGTCGTATTCGTGGCGAACGCGCTTAAGTGACATTTTGTTTTTAAAAAAAGGCCCTTTTCAGGGCCATACAAATAATGTAATAAGTTATGTTACAATAATTGCTTCCTTTTATTCCCTGCCTTTTTTTCCCCCATTAAAATTTTCTACTCATTCGAAAATCTTCCCTCTTTTCATTAAATATTTATGAGTTATTAAAATTGAATGCGCACATTCAAGTCTGCCAAATTTTTATTTCGAAATCATCACTTTATAAAGATTTCTTTCCTCTGACAGCAATTATTGTAACTGAGCTTATTAAATAATTTGTATGGCGCTTAAAAGTATTTATTCTTTGCAAAGTATGCATATCCAATCACTTTAATTCCGTTAGGAACTTAATATTCGAAATCTTTTTCACATGAATAATCTACGGATAGATGGCACCACTTACAAGATGTGTTTTAAAACATTGTTTATATACGATTAAAATATGAATTTTTGGGAGACATTTAATTTTAATTCCTTTAAGTTCCTCCTTAAATATTTGCATCATAATGGATGCAAATGTCTGTTACTCTCAACATTGTATTAAAATTAGATCTTATAGAACATATGATAAAGAAACAGAAAAATACACAATTGTACATGTGTCGCCTCTTTCTAATTCAAGCAATTAAGCATTTTCTTTTTGGTATATTTTTTGGCCCTTAAAAGGGCCTTTTTTTGAGGGTGGGTGGCAATGTCAAGGATAAGTTATGCTTTCTTTTCTGTCTTTTTTGGGAGTAGTACAGCCTGGATATTGGGAAGCACTCCACCCTGTGCAATAGTGACACCAGAGAGCAGTTTATTTAATTCCTCGTCGTTTCTTATAGCCAGCTGAAGATGTCTAGGAATGATTCTGGTCTTCTTGTTATCTCGAGCTGCATTACCAGCCAACTCCAGAACCTCAGCAGCCAAGTATTCTAAAACTGCAGCAAGATAGACGGGAGCGCCGGCACCTACTCTTTCAGCATAATTTCCTTTTCGCAAAAGACGATGAATACGACCAACAGGAAATTGAAGACCAGCACGACTGGATCGAGTCTTGCTCTTTCCCTTAACTTTGCCACCTTTACCACGACCAGACATGATGATATGATTGCAAGATTAATACAAAAATGACGCTCTAGAGACCCCCGTTTTATTAACTCTGTATCTACCATATTTAACCAATGAGCGCAAGACTTTGAAATGAATGGTCCAATAGAATTGTAGCTCTCAATCTCTGTTAGGCACCCTGTGTGGAAATATCAATTCATATTTTTAATTTATTTTTCCTTTATATTAACTAGTTAGCTTGTCGTACACCACTGACTTAAGTCATATCAAATACTAAAACATTGAGTAGAACCGTTTAATGACCAAGTATTTGTAATAAGAGAATATTATTGTTATTCAAGCATCTTCTGAATATTAATAAACAATATTTCTGCTAAGTAGATGAAAGAAACATGAAAAGAAAAGAAAAACATGTAGATAAATTCTACTATACTTGATATTGCTTCTCCTTCAACTGGCAAAATGTTTTATCATACAAAGCTGTGGTACATAGTTTCACTCTATATGTGTACTCATACTCTAGAGTACATATATAGGTGAGGAACTACTGATACTACATATGTATACGATTGAAATTAGAAATATACTCTTGAATGCAGATATACTTACCTCCAATAAGAATTAAAAATGCATGTATGTGTGTGTATATATATATATTACACTTAGTCCTCACTGGCACCCGAACATATTGGCCATTTCAAAACCCAGTAATTTATAATCACATTACTGGACAGTATCAGAAAAACATAACTAACATTATCAGATGTTTTCTATAACTGGTTGATACTAATTTGATATTTTGTATATGTTAGTTAAATCACTGAACGGAATTTTACATAACTTTAAAATTCGTTTTTATTAAGTACAGTAGATAGCATTAAAATTTAAACTCAGTAGTTCTCCATTTCCTATCCCTTCCTCCAAGGCCAAGAAGGTATTCATATTTCAAGAACAAGAAAAGGAAGGAAACTAAGCTTTACAGAAAATGCTTATTATAATACTTGCCATTCATGTACACTTTCATAACACAACAGAAAGTAGAAGAAACTATGTGCATGCATATTTAAATCATCTAACCATAAGTAATTTTAAAGATGGTTATGTCTTATTGAAACAGATTTATTAACCTAAATAGAAAATATGAAACATAAATATTATTTTTATACATTTTATTTCTATACTAAATCACGTTACATGACATAAAACAGAAGCAAAACACATAACAGGAAAGAGCTTGAATCAGTAAACTGTTGCCATTCACTGTGAAAATACAACTGTTGCCAATTACTGACAAAGTATGACTGTTGCCACTATATCTAATGAGATGAAGAGTAACCCTCAACATATCTTTCAGGATAGGCCAATAAATGAATTAATTCTTTAAAGCAGTGCCATTGTGATCACTCAACTTACAAAGTGTACAGATAGATGAATTTGCATCCTGTAGTGGAAGATGGTGCCTGTTTTGGTTAAAATAAAAAGTGCATCTTAAAGTTTCATTCTTCTTTGAAACATATGAATACATGAAACATGGATACTTATTGCAAAGGTAAGTGCATTGAACAGTATATTTTCGATCTGAATCGTATGTATGAAGCACAAGCTGTATGTTGGAAGCATTAAGCCATTTTGCCAAAGCATGTTTCTCTTATTAGAATTCTTGTTTCTAGTGTCTATTCTTTAAAGTATGTTTTTTTTAACAGTAATATTAATGTAATTATATGATGATTATGAGAATTGGTATTAATTGTGTTAAGTATTCAGAACATGTGTTTGAAAAACGATAGTATTCTGTCATTCTAAATGCTTGGTCACTTAGTTAGTATGTAACATTTTCATCTGAAAAATTAAGTAGTCTATTTCAAATGATAGTGCAATGGGTGATCTGTCCAAGAGGCATGACTGAAAACCAGTAACTGAATGTAACGAAGTGAAAAATCTGTACCTACTTTTACTAGCTTATTTACACTAAATTATTACTAATGGAATTTAAGAGATACTGAATTGATTGCAAATGATGTAATCAGATTTACACATCTCCATGCAATGTCGTGTGTAATTTGGGTTACTTTCTGATGAGTTTGATCAAATCAAGATATATATATATACAATGAATAAGGAAATTCCTACAAATTTGCTGTGCTCACTGTTGTGCCTCCTAATTAAAATCTTTTTATTGTCAGAGTAGGCATATTGGCACCAGTCCCGATTAACTATATTTGAAGATTTTGCCCAGAAACGATGGATGTATTGTAAATGGCATTTAATCTCACACAGCTGACACATGATGGTATGGAATATGACATGTAATGTTAAAGTAGTCATTTATTTCATCAAATGAAAGGACTTTTGTTGTTGCTGACAAAATTGAATATTTCCTGTTGGTTAAGTGCACAGTTGAAAACTTTAACGGTCAGTTCAGAGAGAGGAAATGAAGTCACTTGTTTCTGTGTTGTTACGTTGTAAAAAAAATGTGCTTGTGTTCAAGAAAGTGTAATTATCTTCGAAAAATTGAAATTCAAAGTCAAGTTAGATGCCTGTTTGTAATTTGGTGGGATGGAATGTTTGTATTAGAAACATCACATTTCCATGAAGTCGTAAAATTGATGAAAAGTGACAAAACGACTATCAAATATGAAGAAAAGGTTTATTAGTTATAAATGTGAGTAAGATGAATAGATTACAATACAAACAATGATGTGAAATCAATGAAAATTGGAAAAATCTGGTGATGTGTGTGTGAAATATGAAAAATATATTTATTAATTATAAAAGCAGGAATTTTATTAATTAATTATATACGAGGAAGAAGAAAAAAAATTATATATATGAAGGAATTTTATGCAGATCCCCGCCCCGCCCCCTACCTTCCTTCCTACCTACCTACCTACCTACAGCGGGATTCGAACCCGGGCCCTTCGGCCCAGTAGATAGTGTCACTAACCACTGTCCCGCCTCGACAGGCTAGCCACTTTCCTGTGTAGGCAGTACTTATGATATTTCGGATATTATAGAATGTCTTCATTCCAAGTATTCTGAGAAAGGCTTTGATCGAGCTAGTGAAACCATTTGTGGTGCATTCAGATGTCTTGCTCATCTTGTCCACAGAGTAACTACAGTGTATATCTTGCTTCAACACTGTATACGTATTCTTATGATGATTTCTGCCTCACTACGAACTCTCTACAACTAACCCACTGCTATGGATCTGCTAATACTTCTCTTCCTACTTCTACTTCAACTCACCTGTCTAAGACTTTCGTTATGCTACTCAACGTTCGAAAAGTTATCTAATTGTTATATTGGGAATTTTTTTTTTTTTTTTTTTTTTTTCCATGTAGCCATGTCTGACGTGTATTCTTTTCTTCGAGTGATTAGTTTCATCAAACACGAAGCACACAGTTCTTTTACTTCTTATTATCGTGTATATGTTGCATTAGATCCATATATTGCCGGGGGGGTTAATTTGTGAAGAAAAGGACAGGGGGGAGCCAAGTTTCCAACCTGTCGTTGTAATAATAGTAAATTCTCCTGTCACGTTGTCATGAAGCTAATTAACTCTCTGAGCATTACGGGCTTAGCCTTGATGACTCTTTCATTTTGTACCTTGATTCCTTTTCTTCCAATATACATCCAAACTGAAATCAGATACGTTAACTCTTTAAAATCCAGACCCTTCGCTAAGCTGTATCCTCAAAATACCCGAACCGCCCGAAATACTTTACCAGTTTCACAGCAATTTCCTCACCTCCCCGTCCATTAATGCAGAAAATAGGTGTAAAGATTTCCAATGACATCCTTTGTACTTTCTAACAAAGATTCCATTAGCCTTTGACCCCATTCTTTATAAAACTATTCTGAAGGTCAGATCAACAAGCCTTTCCAGCTTTGTTATGATCACAACTGAGAGATTGTATCTCAACGAAATGTCACGATCATCCAAAAGATAAAAAAAACCTCTTAGGACAAGCTGTCTGCAGTAAACTGATACAATGCATTTGGGGAAAGTGCACCTGCTACTGCATACCTTAGGGGGAGAGAGGGAAGAAAAGAAGATTACAATCTCGGGCGGATTTGGATGTGAAGGAGTTAAAAGCTAGCAGAAATTTTCATGTATAATGAATGGGGAAGGCAAACTTCTGTATGGAAGTTTCCGGCCTTAACACTGAGAAGGTTAAATATGATGTACTATTATGGTTATCATCAAATTCCATTGCAAATGTTGTCTGCATTTTCAATTATCTTTCAAATTAGACTCGCATTTTCCAATTTCTTTGGTTTCCATGTATATATATAAGGATACTATTTGGTAAGTCCTTTCAATGAATTCATTTAAGACAGCCAGTAAGAAGTAATAAATTGAACAATGAATGATATGTGTCATAGGATTTAAAGATAAGCAAGCAACAGCTAATCTTAAGCATTTTCTGGCCCTGAAAAGGGCCTTTTTTTTTTTTTTTTTTTATGCTGAAAGCTTTGAAAATTTACTTCGAGCTGGTGTACTTGGTGACAGCTTTGGTACCTTCTGAAACAGCATGTTTTGCCAATTCACCAGGCAGCAACAGTCGCACTGCAGTTTGAATTTCTCGGCTAGTGATGGTGCTCCTCTTATTGTAATGAGCTAAACGAGAAGATTCTGCTGCAATTCTCTCAAAGATGTCATTAACAAAAGAATTCATAATTGACATTGCCTTGCTCGAAATACCAGTGTCAGGATGAACCTGTTTCAAAACTTTGTAGATGTAAATAGCAAAAGATTCCTTCCTTCGCTTCTTCCTCTTTTTCTTGTCACCAGCTCGAACAGCTTTCTGGGCCTTTCCAGCTTTCTTAACAGCTTTTCCAGATGCTTGGGGAGGCATTTTCAAATTCTACGAATGAGATGAATCACACCTGAAAGGCCGTATTTATATGCATTTTGGCCGTTTTCCTTTTCAACCAATCACAAACATCATGATGTAACCTATTTTTTGAGAGAGAAAATGTAATGGGGAGGTTAAAAGAATTTGTATATGAAATACATTTTTGAAAGAAAATTGAGTTTCGTTTACGTACATATTATTTTGTTGTCAAATTAACCCTGTCAACGGCCACACCGTGCTGAAAGTACCGGTTCTCGTCCGAACACCGCAGTCAAGCAGCGTCGGGCGCGGTCAGTACTTGGGAGGGTGACCACCTGGGAACACCGCGTGCTGTTGACATTTTTGTCCTCTTGCAAATTTTTATGTATCCGTACTAATAATTATTAATTCAAAATACATATTTTTTGTGTGTGTGTCTGATAGGAAAAGCTATAGTTATATAAAAACACTGATAACTGATGACATGCAAGCCTTAATCTTATGCTACATTTATAATGACACCAATCTGTTGAAATAAAAATTCTCGTTCTCCTGATCTGTTCTCAATTATAATACTTTACATACCATATAAAACAGTTTATATGAACTTAAAAAAAAAAAAAAAAATACCCTGAGGACACTTAACACAAAAGGATATTACATTAATTGTTGTAAATCCTACTAACGCCATATTGATAGTATTCTTATTGGTCGAACAGAGACCTTTGATCACGTGACACGCACGGAAAAATAGCATAAATAAAAGTGCCTGAGAACCGAAATCCGTTTTTCTGATATTTCAGTGTTGCAAAAATGTCTGGCCGTGGTAAAGGAGGCAAAGGTCTTGGTAAAGGGGGTGCCAAAAGGCATCGCAAGGTCTTGAGAGATAACATCCAGGGTATCACAAAACCAGCAATTAGGCGCTTGGCAAGACGAGGTGGAGTAAAGCGTATTTCCGGCCTCATCTATGAGGAAACGCGAGGAGTTCTGAAAGTTTTCTTGGAAAATGTGATCCGAGATGCTGTCACCTACACAGAGCATGCCAAGAGGAAAACTGTCACTGCTATGGATGTCGTTTATGCATTAAAGAGACAGGGACGTACTCTATATGGATTTGGAGGTTAAATATCATTACCTTGCCCTAATTCCCCCCCCCCCCAAAAGGCCCTTTTCAGGGCCATACAAATTTTTAAAAAAGATATGCCTTTATTGTAAAATTTCTCGCTATAACAGTACTC